ATGTGTGATGGACTTATTTGAGATTACAGTAGGCAGGCCACTGTGGTTCCACCTGGCTGAGAGTGTCATATTTCTTTGTAAGTTGGACATTGAGTAATTCAGACAGTGGACTAGTAGGAGAAACATATCTAAACTGGCCAGCTTATCTAGGAAGCTGGTTTAAATCATTTTGTCATGTTTACATCCCGTTCTTTATCGTATAATTCGTCATTTAAAAGAGTAATTTAATACAGGCCCTGTACTCACAATGGAGGGTGTCATTTCTTCCCTGTCAGGCATAAATTGCTGTGTGAATTCAAAATGTCTGTACTGCCTAATGTTGGATAATTTCATTTGCCAAGTGTTGTTTTACGCCTCTTAAAATAATCACTTGTTTCTGAAAAATGCTTTGACTGGAAGCAGGCTGTGAAAAGCAGGAAAGCGCTTCGATTCACAGAGCAACCCTTGTGCCTTTAGGAAAAAAAGATGGCACAGTGAAGTGACAATCACCTGTGGTACAATTGTCACTGACGGATACAGCAATTATTGCTTCTTTCCAATTACACCACAGGAGAGTAGGCTACAGCTGCTACACCATCTTTAAATTAGAATCTTACCATCACCCTACTTCAAAGTTTAATTCTTCTAGGGCTTCAGCCTCCGTAAATTGTTGCCTGAAAAGCTGCGTGATAAATTTCTGCTCTTCTTTCCCTTAAATTTTAGTCAGACCGGATCACACAGCCTTTCTATTGACTTTTCTCATTCAGGTACTGTATATGCCAGTCTGTACATGTCAGAAAATCTCCAAAACAAGAGGTTAGTGATGCCTGGACCGATCTTGTCTTCTGTTTTCAATTTTATTTGCAGTTGTTATCTGATTTTAAACGAAACAACAGATTTTGCTTGTGATCATTTTTTTTCTATTTTTATTTTTTCCACTGAGGCTCTATTATCACTCATAAAGTGCCAAAGCATAAGACCCTGTGCTGTCTTTCTCAATGCTGAAGATGGTGTCTAATTAAGTCAAAAAGCAAAAGCTGCTGATGACCTCATCTGTGCTGTCTGTTTTTGTTCTGACTGGTTGTGTATCAGACAGCTCTATATAGAAATTAATTGGTTTTGTGTTTTCAAAAGAGTAACCTTAATAAAATAATTATGTTTATCATAATTGCAATAATAATTGCCCTTATTGTTTTGAAACAGGATGTGGAATTCTGGTGCCATGATATGGATTTCAACTGCCTTACTCGCTCATTTTGTTTGCTTGAAAAGGCTTATTTACACAGAGCAATTTTAAATTTGCTTTCAGATGTAATTGCTTATGAGCTTTGTAGTTTACTGGCATGTGGCTTAAACTTTCAATTTAAGCCTGTTCCATCAGCTCAGTAACCTCAAGCAGGCCATCATTTAAACAGGTTTCAAGCGCTGCCTTACTTTACAGACACTGTCCATTGTGGATGACTGTAATAGATCTGCAAGTTTTTAATTTTCATTTTATTCTATTAAGCAAAAAGCTGCTTTGCAGAAATACTGAATTGTTTTGGTAACATTTAATTAATAAGATAGCGAGGACCATGACCCTCTCTGTAAGTAAAGCACTGGTAGTGAATGTGAATAAATGGAGACACAGCAGAAATGGTCAAAGATTAAAGGTGCTTTTTGTCCAGGAAAAAAAGAGCATGGTTTAAAACTGAGCTTTTATGAGTGCTCTTTGGTATGTTTGTCACTGTTAGAAGCAGCTGTCAGAGTTCTTTCCTCAATTAACCTACAACAAATTGGAGGGAGTAGATTTTGGCTAATCAAAAGTGTGAATCAAGAAGATACTGACACCCAATTAAGACACTGATATTTCGGGTTTGTGTGGTGGGTCTAAATCTTCAAGTTAGAGGCCAGTAAGGGTAAAGGCCAAGAAGACAAGAAGATAAATTTGTTTTTACCAATAATTTATGTCTTAAGACTGAAGGTACGGTAGGAGCTGAAAAGCTACAGTGGGCAGTTTTTCCAGCAGGTGGTGGCTGGGCAGTTGGAGGGGGGTATGGATGTTGACATGCCCAGTTCCTGGACAGAACTCATCTGTCAATCAGAAATAGAAAGCACAGGCTCCCAAAACAGCTCAACAGCAAGTGCCTTGGGCACTCATCTGGAAAAGAGATGGCTCGGTCTGTTCATTTTATGTTCTTTTATGTTCATCATATGTTCTCATACATGAAAGTGCATTCAAAACGTAGGCCAGAAGGCACTTCTGTGCCCAAGGGGTTGTGGGATGTGGAGAAAGCTTCTTAGCTCTACTGGCTGAAGCTGATACCTTGACATCCTTCTAGGAACAGCTGGATGAGATCAATTAATTACCAATTACCAAACAGGCCAGACGGGACCTCCTCTTATTTTTTTTTACACTTTTCTTATGCCCTAATGTTTATTTGTTCTTTCGTCAGATCTTTCTTCTTTCAGGATGCTTTGGGCCGAGACCTCACCCTCTTTCACTACCTAAATGATCTCATTAAAAAAAGACTGCGGCCATAACCCAGTCACAACCCAAGAATCCTGGGAGACAGTTCTCTCCGAGCTCCAGGTTTCTTCAAGAAAACCATGATGCACAACAGTATGAAATTGATTCAATTGGCACATACTGTAGCTATTCAGGAATGATTTTTGAAGAGAGGATACCAAAAGGTGAATGAAGCTAATTTTTTCAACAGCTACACTCCCATTGAGACCATTTTATGCGTATGTTCCTGTTCTTGACGAATGCTTGTAGGTATTCTCAAGATTTGTACTGGGTTTCCACTATCACACAGAGAATTTGAAATTTTTGTGTTTTAATACTTAAAACTTAATACTTAATACTTAATACTTGTAATGTCAAATACACCTGTTTTAGTCTCTCCCTCCAAAGCCTTACAGGTAGTACTGGGTTAAAGCATATCTGTACAATTAATTCGGTAGCATTTCACTTTGCACAAAACGTTTTAATCCGTGATGCGTAATTTGACATTCCATCCCTATTTCCAATACAGGTACTGTATATTGTATATTTGTATTACTTGAGTCCATATGGGAAGTGTTGGATAATATAATCAATGGGCTCAATCACATTGAATCCTGGGCTTTTCTAAAAGGCATGTATCTAACTTGTACTGTGAAAGCAGTTTAGCAATTGATGGGTCCTTGGGCCTGGACTTTGGGGAAACTTGTGAAGAGTTGTCAGGACTTCCAGTGGGTTGCAGCAGCCATGATGAGATGCTATATTGAGAATATTGCAAGATGGTCTGTCAGTAGTGGTCATTGTGAGATGTCAGGCCTTGATATACAGTACATGCAGTGTGGACTTTGCACTTTGCATTATCTTTTCGTGACATAGACACATCACATGCCTACAAAACTGCAACAGTGTTGTACTGTATTTAGCACCCCAACCCTGCAAGAAACAGCAAAATATAGTGTAGAGCCTGTTTAGTTTTTTCCCAGCTACAAAATCTTAAACTGGTTAAAAATGGAAAATGTAGCCTAACTGCTTTGGATCATTGTCTTGAATTTACTGTATGTCCTTAATATTTTGTCATATGATCTGAATCGCACTGACACTGACTAGGCAGTGATGAAAGAGAGCTTCTATGAAGTGCAACAGGATCACAGCCATGGTTGGACAGTCCGCCTCGTGAGAGAAGCCTGTTTTCATAATTGCAGGCAGAAGATGGCAAGCCACAGAACTGTGGAATACGTGTTGATAACCAGTGAGTTCCCAATTTGATCAAATTAAATGTTGTAGAAGTAATTTTCAACAAAAATGAACACATTTTATAACAATTTAGATGAGAATCCTGCACTTCACAGAAAATAGACATTTCTGGCATAAATCTAATCAATCCTTTCTCCTTCCAATTCATTGTCCAGATTTTTTACATCTTTTGTGAATAGTGGTCTCTTAGGTGCAGGCCTAGATCATGCATTTATTAAATTAATTTGCATTGATTTCATAATTTATTTTAAAGTGGGTGTACATCTGATTTCTATTGTCGGATGATGGTCACATTGTGACCTGGCATTCTAAACCATGCAGTGTCTCAGAAACTTAAACGAAGATTAGCTGTGGCTCATAAGCCTGTGATAAAATGCTTTGTCAGATCAATGCGTGACTCTGCTGCCATAAGGAATGCTATTGATGGAATTAACATCTGAGTGTCAGCTATATGATTATGAGGATGCCTCAACAGCGGCACTTTGCATTATACAAAAAGCTGTAAATTACATGGATTGCAGGTTGGCTTACCTAAACAGGCAACTTAAGTGTCAAGTGACCGCTGAAACTGATTGCAGAAAATGTCTGTTTCTCGGTGTTCATTGCAATCTAGCATGATTGTTTTCAGGATGGCTGACGAGGCCAATCTGGGCTAGACAGACTCTGTAACAGTTTATACGAGAGCTCCTGAGCTAAATGGGAAATCCAGAGTCGTTGATCTGCTCACGATGAGCTGGTTCTGCTGATCCCGCTTTTCAGGCAATCTGCTGTATGTTTGGAGTGATGAGCGGACCCTTCTTCCATCTGAGGTGGTCCTAGGCAGTAGTCTGGAGTCTTGAGTGGTAGTGACAGTGGTGCACTTCTTCATCTTGGCCTTGAGGACACGTCTGAGGCACTCTCTCTGTCGTCCTCTTCAATGTTGGCCAAAAATGAATTGGACACTTCAGCTCAAGTTTTTTTTTTCCTAAAAACGAGCTAATTGGACTCTTTAACATGAGTATAACTCCACTATAGCAGATATGCAAGATGTATATTAATAGTCTTAAAATAATCCCTCTTAATAAACAGTTGAATTATACCTGAATTCTTCTGACCCCTAGAAATGATACCATATGGCGAGACTGAAGCCTCTGCTGCTCTGCAGTAAATACAGTGTTTACTTGTACATCTATAGATGAGACACCTACAGTACCAATTAGGCTACTTGCAGTGCCGACTCTGGCAATCTCATGAATCTCATTCATGCTCACATTTTGGCAGTTACACTTGGCTGTTTGCGAGCCCTCGCGCTCGTCAGAAGTGGCGCTTGCCTGTCTTTTCAAGCCTGTTATATGTGGATTATATACATTTGCACAAACAGTATCTACTGTCCTGAGCCCCAGGTTACAGCCTTTGAACGTGACAGGTAATTACTGAAATGGGTAAGAAAACGATAGCAAGATGAGCATTTGATGTTATGGAATGCATTTCTGTGGTATTACCTACTGTATATTTTGCAATAAAATTAACAAAAATGTTGTTAATATTTTTTCTTTCATTTTTATTGTCTTTAGCCAGAAAAAATTAAGAATGGTGATAATGAGAACAGTCAGCAGACACAATTCTTTGTCAGCTGTGTTTTTTTCAAGCGTGTGACACAAGCAGTCTCTTTGATTGATACAACAAAGTTAATATTTATATGCATATTTTGCCTATGTGTCTGATTTTCTTTACAGAGAATGACTTTGATACATGACCATTAATTTCAGTGACTGGTTGTTTTTTACAGAGAATTTTACATATTCCCAAAATCCCCTCCATGCAACAGCAGTGTACACACAACATCACTTCTACACAAACTGACACAGAAGCCTCTGTTAGTGATATTTACTAATAGTGAAATTATCATCTGCTGCTGTATGTCAATGTACAGAATGTTGTTCATTAATGTAATATGAAATTTGCTCATATTATAAAATGCTCCTTCAGACTTTTAATGCACGTTTTGTTTTTATTATAATGCCAAGATAGTACTTATCAGCATCGAAGGAACTTGCATTTAGATTTTTTCTGTTAAGAACTATCTCTAAAATAGGCTTATCTGCGTATTTTATGGTGCTCAAGAATGATCTCTTACCAAATTTACCAGCCTATTGACTTTTTAGGGTAAAGATCATCGTTACTGCTGATGACAGGTTGGGGAGTCATTCCCTGTTTGTTAATGGGTTTGTACTTATTTGGAACTAATTAAAAAACTTTTTTATGGGGTCCAAATATTCTCCATTGTGTAGGAATGAGCACTGTGCTCTGACTTGGGGGGGACTAAACTGGAATGCACTCATTTTGTTGTTTCAGTAATAAAAGACTGCATTTGTGTGAGAATGATCTCCATGCTGTTAATGAACCCATTGAATTGCATTTGCATTAAAGTCGTCACAACCCATATACTTTGACTGGTACATTTCAAACTTCTTATTTTCTTAACCTAATGAAGCTTACATAATAAAACAAATCTGAACAAATCCTTTGTTAAAAAGTTTACTTGAAGACTTTATAAGCATTATACTCAAGGATCTCAGAATGATAACAGTCGTGAAGGAATTGTGGAGAGGTATTGCATTGTTTTCTCACTTGTAATGATCTTACAGTATTTGTATTTTAAGAAGGGAAATGTAATCTGCGTTTGAACAGTTTTGTGTTCATTATCAGTTTTTGCAAGTTTTTGTTACCTGAAGAAAATAATTCCTGCAGCTTTGCACCTCTGAACTCTGGTGACCTTTTTTCAAAGTCCAGGTACAGTCCTGAATATTGGGAGTCCTGAATATTGGGAGTCTGAGAGTAACTTCCCTATAAACTGAAAACATCACTGCTGAAGTCATACAGGCTGCTGGTGTGGTGGCTCTATTCATAACTGTAGCAAATCTAAGATATGAAATACACCATTCTGTTATTCATTCTTTCATTAGTGCTGCAGAATAGTGCATTAGAATCTAACGACTTTAATTTTAAATGCTACATTACCTCCTGGCATTAGAGATCTTTCCAGTTTCTGGACAGTGTGGCTTATGTGAGGCTGTTCATTTTAAAATGTATTTCTCTGAGAGTATTATAGTTGCTTATTTTAATAACACTAACTGAATAAACGTTCCCTATTTGCACTTTATTTCAATTGCTTTTAAAACCAAAGAGTATAAGCATCCACCGAATAAGGGTTAATATAAGGATTATCCTGCTTCTATAGTACTTTATAGTGTATGGCCCTGAAAATCATCTCTTTCTTTTTTTCTTTTATTCAGAATAATTTTAAGTGTTACTAACCAAATTTTAAAAATACCTGCATAGCTTTAAGCAGCAATATGCTTTAAAAATAAGCTTAGGCTGACTGAAGAGCAAATCTGAGTTATCCCCAAATTGAGGCTTTCAACTGAGTTGTTGTAAAATATTGATATAAAGCTTTGAGTACACAGTATTTACAGTCCCTGGCTCCTAGGTGGTAAATCACATTTCTTTTGTGTTCTGAAAAGTGGTGGGAAGGAAAATGCAGTGTTACAACGAAGCCTTAAGGAGAAAAACTGACAATATGACCTGCAAAAAGAAAAACCAGAGCTGCATACTGCATACCCACAAAATGGTGAGCTCTACACTGCAACAAGTAGAGTTCCACTATAAAACAGCCGACAAGGGTGTAGGTGGGGTGGTAGGAGGGGTTTGAGAAAAACGCGCAAAGGGAAGTTCAGAAGGTGAGATGTGCACTACACTGCATATACATTGGAGAATGGAAGGATGTGAGATTAGGATCTAATCTTCCTCTCATGCTTCAGTTATAAGCTGCATGAAGGGAAGACATTTTTGGTTTAAAGTCCAAAAACAAAAGTTTCCAGATGCAGCGAATGCAGTGCACTCCTAAACTTCAAACCACTTTGTCTCATTGGGGATTTTCCAGGACATGTCTGCCACTGACGCACTGTTGCTCTCGAGTCGCTATACAATTTCTGTTGCTGAACTGAGGCTGAAATGCTGTAAATTGCTTTAGCCATTCATAGCCAAGGCCAAGAATAAGAGCTAGTGCCATTTAATGATATTGAATTCTCCATCAATTGCAATCCATTTGATATTTTATAATTGTTTTTCTGAAATGAAAATCGAAGTTAATGATCAGCTTCTGCAAAAAACAGAAAAATAGATATGATGGCAGGTTGATGGGTGATTATGAGGAACAGAAGTATTCTTTTTCCATTAGTTATAATATAGCAGATCTTTAAAATAGTGCACCGGATCTTGAGTTTTTGAGTGTCTCAATGTTTGCTTTTCAGGCACACAGGATAAAAAAACTGAAAAGTTCACTGGAAGTGGTGCTAAATAGAGCAGATAAAATGACTTAAAATATTACAGCTCGATTAAATATTTATATAGAACAGCTGTCACATTCCCATCAAACTGCATTAAAAAAGAGCAAAATTACAAAAAAAGAGTGAATTCGATTGCTGAGAGAATACGCATCAAGAAATAATGATCACACATTGGCGAGGTCCAAGAATTGACATGATCAGTTTCTAGGGAAAAAATAATTAATCGAGTCGGCCAGAAGAGAATGGCCTTGCACCGCTCACAGTGTCACGTGATACACTCAATTACAGACAGCCTGGGCTGGAGAACAAGTCTGATATGTGTGCAAAATAATTGATGTAGAACATGTGCTTTTTAATTGCGTGGTTTCACTTCAGTGAGTTTGGGGGACGCAAAAACCCACTGTTTCCTATTATTTTGCATCAGATGACATTGGGGGGTGGGGTGGCTGGTGGAGAGGAGGTGTGTGAGAAAAAAGTGGATACAAAAAGTGTGTGTGTGGCCGATTTGGACAGCCAGCGGAAATGAGCCTGGCTGGGCAGCGACACTCATTTAGATTCCTATTTTGTTACTGTCACTTTGGCTACATGCACAACAGCAGCTAACATTATTCCAGGCCCCACGGAGGGCCGCCTGCCTGGTTCCTCTGACAGCTTATCTCGGCAAGAGATTTATATGTTCGAAAGAAGGATGCATTCCTTTAATCACTAATACCACTCTGGCGAAATATGCTTTTTGTAATTTATTGCATTTTTTCCCGAATGTAAACGAATGCAGCAGCAACTCTGGAATTGGTTTGGGCTTATGTTATCGTCTGTTAAAAAAGGACACATTTATACAGGCCCCAAAGCTTTTTGCTTTTATTGATTTTCTTACTGTGTTGCTTCATGCAATAAGTGTTTAAGCTGTCAGAGAGGATGTCCGAAAACAACAACCTTATCAGTTTTATACAAGGACATACAAATTCCAAATTCTTTAGTAGTAACATTTTCTACATGAACATGAGTTGTGAAATAATGAATAAACTGAAGGCTGATCGAACAGAGCTTTTCAAATATTTTTTGTGTATAAAAATAACAGTAAATGCACAATACTGAATTTTAAAAATACAATTCTCTATACCAGTGTGGGCTGAATTTTTGTCAGTTATCCTCTAAAGATGGGACTTCAGAATCAAATCTATGAAGAAGATTTTCATTAATTACATTCATTGGTACTGTAAGTGCATTATCATCATCTGTGACCACATTACCATAATGTCGTCCCCTTCTTAAAGCCTGTTTAGCTGCCTTTTCCTTTCAGTTTTCATACAGTGAAGGGAGGGTACAGAGGTAAACCATGGATCATAAAGCAGCTGTGGTCAGAACTGCTGACTTCTATGCTTAGCAGTGTCATCCAGGGGAATTTAAGAAGTCCACTCCCCTTCAGGAAATTATTGTATTTGCCTGGGGAAATTCACAAGACGTAATATGGATTTCTCCGGGCTTTTGCTTTAAAAAGCTGACAGTTCTTGTGCTGCTTTGGTAAGGGAGCAAGAGCCAGCCGTGATGCTGTCGATTCTGTCCTACTGCAAGAGGCTTGCTAATGCACTGCCGAGGGTGTTCGGAGATGGCAAGTGTGCTGTGTGCGAGCAATACTGTGCTCTTTGCTGAAATTACACCTCCCAGCACGATTCTTCTTCACATCGGGAGGAGAACTCAAATACAGTATACTGCCTGCCATGCTTTCTTCTCGACCGCGGCTGTGAGGCTGTGAAAGCTCTCCACAGCAGGGCCGTACCCGAACACCCAAGCAGACATCAGCACGCCTGGCCCTCTCCTGTCCTACAGAACCGGACTCCATTCCACGAGAGGCCCATCGGGAAAGAAAAATCCTTATTCTGTGCAAAAGCACATTTTAATGGCATTTATCATTTATGGCGAAATTTCTGGATCGATCTTTTTTTTTTAAACCCTTTTGAGGAAAAAAAAAACCCACAACACCGGCCTTCTCAGAAAGAACTGTAAGCTTTCTGCCTCCTGGAATTTAGTCTTCTGTGACAAATACATTTACTGTGCTGCTGCTGCTTAGTCCCTTAGT